AGATAAGGATAAAATCTTCCATCATTAGAGCTGTAATAAGTGAAGAAACAAGATATAAATAAAAATTTTTAAAATGTAATCTAAATGACATGGGGGAACAAAACAGAAGTATGTTCAAAATTACCATCTGAAGTTTTATAGCTAGTTTGTAGAACTAAACCAGTTGGAATAAGAGTGAATTCCAATACTCATGAAGGATGAAATAATCAGAGGTAGGATTTAGACCAGGAAAAGAATGTCCCAGGACGCTGGCTTTTTGAAGGCACTCAAGAACAGAGTGAGAGAGACTGAAGCTGCAGTGAGAAAACAGGAGGATCAGACAGAGGTGTATACTCACGGATCTGTCATAAAGAAAGAAAACCACTCCAGGAACGCTGTGACAATACACGTATTATTGAGTAATACATAGAATAACAAGGTAGAAATCCACTTTATAAGTAGTTTCTTATAACAATGTAGCTTCTACTTAGGAAACAAGAAAGAGAAGGTTGTTTTCCCAATATGCAACTCTGCAAAATAGTTGACTTAAATGGAGAATTGTGATAAACTGTACATTATGTTCAAAGTTGGGATAACCAAGGAGTTTGATTTTCCTTTGAATCTTGCAAAACCTATCCTCTAAGACAAAAAGATCTGATCAGAGAGTCTATAAAAGTCTAGAGAGTATAAAAGTATAGAACTGTAAAGTGGATATACTGATGGCAACTTTTATGGCTTCCACAGAAAGCGTAGGAGGGTCTCTGGTTTGCTTTATCGAGGTAGTGGCCAGGTCTGAAGGTCATCATTATTTACTGTGAATGCTACAGATAATGAAGCTGGTAAGTTAGGGTGCTGTTACTGCATAATAATGCCACTGTCTCCAATGGCTTATGACCTTTCATTCCTGAAAAAAATGATCACTTGAGAAATTTCCTATCTTGGTTTAGACAAAGGAAAATTAAAATCCCCTATTTAAAACTTGCTTGACTGTATAGTCTAAAGAATTAAAAGGAGTTGATTTTTGAATGGTAGACAACTGATAAACAGTTTAAATGTAACTTATCCCCTTTTGCATTAAGTACTTCCATTCAGTCTAGAACAGCATACAAATGCTCATCATGTGGATCAACAATGCAGTGAGAGTTGTCTTTTCTATACAGTAGCTCAAACAGAAGGGTTTCTCTAGGCTTTTTTTTTCTTTTTTAAAAAAGCAACATTAAAATCCACCTACCATTGTGTGTTTTACTAACAAAATTGGCAAGATGGGGTAAATACATACACATCTGCAATGGATTTTTATCTCCGTTTCATCTTCTCAAAATTTAAAACTTCCAGTGAAATTAAAATAAAACTAAACATACATATCCTTTCAACAAACATAATAATTGAAAACAATTTCAAGAAGTAGGAAATTAAAAGTTTACAAGCGTCTCTTCATAGCATTTTGCCTTCAGCCTGCACACTAAGGGACAATCCAATTATAGGGAGAGCCCTACCACAATAAAAGGTACTTCCAACAAGTATAGCTGTTAAAGGATGGTACAACCTTGCTTAGTCAGTAATTTAGAACAGTTCATGTAAATGGTGGACTATAAAAGTAAAAGCAACTGATTTGCAAAGGTTTCATTGAACTATGGTTAAGTTTTGTGTGAAAACCTCCCCTGCTTGCTAAGAATAAGATTAAGTCACAAATATACATGTAAATGAAGCCACATGCATTTAAACTGTTCTTCTTCTTCTCTTTATTCCAATTTTAAAATCTAACTTAGTATAAGCCTTCCTGACACAATTTGATAAAGCAGTGGCCTTTCATTACCATTAAGGAAGAGTTTACATGTGAATGATAAATCTATGAGAAAAGAATAAAGAAATGCCAAGACACAAGAATGCACTGTCAACCCACAAACGTCCTTGTGATTGTTTCTCAAAGAGGTCTCGCTCTAGCAATGACACAAGCCTTTGAAGACAGTAAAATTAAGTAATGACACAGCCTCAACTGATATCAATATAATGCTGAAATGTGGCCTTTGTTGTCTTTCAAAGACTTATGTAAGTACATACAAAAGCTGAGAACTCAAACTCCTCCACAGTTCTTTTATTCACAGACAGACAGTGAGTAGGTAATAAGTTCTGAAGAATTCACAGGGTGCTGTATCTTATGTGGGAAAGCACATACCACATAATGCAACTTTTATCTTAGGAAAGGACCCCAACCAAATTTTCAACCCTGAGTTTGAGTTTTGAGCATGTTAAACCTGACAATATATATGTTTAAGGCTTAATCCTGTAGTTCTTATATTCAGAAGCATTAATATCATGAATATTCTTAATGCATTTCATTATTCATACTTAGTATGACACTGATAAGGAATCATTAAGTTCTGAGCAGTTTTCCTGAAGACCACAAGTTCTAAATCAAGGGAATAAAAATAAGACATTTACAGACTGTTTCACTTTACATTTCACTAAGAATTACGCTGTGTGACAAAGTTTTTTTTTTTTTTGCTTCTGTTAAGGATGGTGGTGATTATTTGCTTAATACTTTTGTTTCCTATGTAGCAGATATTATCTTATGGCTATATTCACTTGAATGCAAAAATCAAAGATGACTACCTGAATCTTCCAGTGTATAAATTATACTACACCTCATTAAATGGTTGATTCAATGGTCTCAAGTCTAGAATTCAGAATTGCTGCCTAATACTGAAAATTTATTTAGAACAAAATAAGGTATAACCAATTAAATAAGCTACAGTTTATATATTTTTTCCCCAAAATCATTTTAATATAACAGGCTTAACCATGAAATAGTGATATGTCTAAGTAAAAATGTAGATTCACAAACTTGTCATGGAATGCAAAGGAGGGGGGGTGGGGTAGGGGGCAGCAGCCACTAAAGACATAACAGTCGTAACCAAGGAATTAACTTTCCTTGCTGGCTTGGGTATCTGAATACACCCAGGTACAACAAATATTAAAAATAACATTCTTTAAAACAAAAACAGGAAGAAAAGTATGTCTGAGGTACTTTTCTGCCTCATTCCAAAATTTTCCTATGCTCATTGCAGAAGACAAAGGCAATAACCAGAAGGAAGAAATTGGGAAATAGTAAACTAAAATGCTAACAGTGAATGTGGTATTTCAAAAATAGTGACTTAAATGAACGAGTTCCATTTTCTTTCTTACCACAGAGCTAATCAGCCATAAAAGTGCTTGAAGCATATCTGCTCATTCAATATTAAAAATTAAAACAAAAATAAATAAAAGCCAGGATTCTGATTCAGTCAATGATTTAAAAGCCTGAGGGAAAAAAGAAATGAAGGAATTTGAAGATCAAAAACAGAGAGAGAGAGAGAGAGAGAGAGAGAGATCAGGCCTAGCCTTGGAACTCAATTCTCTGAGACGAAGAAATACAAAACTGTTAGCTGTACTGAGTCAGGTCTGGGTAAATTTTGGTCACTTAAATATAACCAGTATGTTAGTCCTTCTGTTCAGCCTTTCCTATCATAAGCTCCTGATTGACCATTCTCTTTCAAAGTTCCCCAAACATGAAAACTTAACCTGCCTAAAGCTATTAGAGGGACTGCTCTCCTTATCAGCTATGAATGATGGCATCACCTAATTATTTGCAGAGGACAGGGCAGCAAAACCTAGGAGTCTTCCTTCACTAAAATGTAAACTGTGTTAGAACAGCTCAAAGTTGTGCATATATCCAGTGACGTAATTGGTATTTTAAAACTTGCATCCAATTTGTGTTCTCATCCAATTTCTCTTCATCCACTATCAGTAACATGATGTTTGTGACTTTAGTTTACTATTTTATCTTCTCAAAACAATTCTAAAAAAATAAAGCCACCTCAAAATGGGCAGTATACGATATGAGACTTACTTTGTCATCCCATAAAAGTTAAACGTGACACAGTTCCTAAGGGAAGTAAGCAACCGATGGGACTGAAATGAAACAATCTCTACTGCTTCCTCCTCTTGATGGTGACCAGCTCGACTCAGACTTTCAAAACATGCAAGCTCTTGGGTGACTTCCCCGGAACAAGGCCCAACCCTCTGCAAATAACTTCATTTAATGCATGAACTGAACTAAATGAAACACGGAGGACAGGAGCACGTCAGTGAGCCTAACAGACATTTGAGTGTTAAGCAGAGAATCAAAACTTATACTAAGTTCTGAAAGTAAAACCTCATTTTTGTAGTAACCTGGTCTGGAGACCCTCTCAGATACATCTAGTCTGAAGCACCTTTGAGTTGTACGGATGTAAGAATAACTTTGACTATAGAAGTTATATGCATCTTTAAGAATCACATTTTGATTATAAAAATTTTTTTCTATTTTACACCATAGGTCCAGCTACACTGAAAAAATTACACTGCTTATTGAAATACATTTCATTTTAGAAACAGACTACTAAAGAAGTCTATACAAAAACTCTAAAATAATTTCTGTAGTAAAATAAAGAGTGCATTAGGAGAGCTACACAAAGAAGAAAATTTCCGTCTTTTTCTATAATGCTTGATATACTGTGAAACCTGGCCAGCTCAACACTGTAGCCGGCACCAAAAGCGGAAAAGAATTCATTACGATACACAGTGATACAATTAATGCTCTGGATTAATCTCACAGCCTTCCCGATTAGTACAAAGGAAACCAGGCCTATCCCCTCTTTGAGGAGAAGCCCAGGATATAAAAGCAAGCATACCTCATCAGCTGATATGAAATTATAAAATTCCGTAAGTCTGAGTATTCGAAATTTATAAAAGTCACCAGAAAATGCAAGCAAATTGGGCTTTAGTTCGGTGGTTCCCCTGGTTTAGATGACAGTTCCCTCTGTGAGCTCAAGGTCATCATCTTGTTCATTCCCTTGGATCCGCTGATTCACCAAGACAATGACAAAGCTCTTGAGGGCTAAGAGGAAGGTCTGACAGCTACAGAAATGCTCCTCAGCACCCTCCCCGCGAGCTCACAGATGGGAACCCACTCCTGGGGAACATACTTAAGGAGACGGACGTTAATGATGCTGTGCTGAACTGTTCTTCTCTGCCAGGTGCCGCAGAAAGTTGTCCTCACTCTGGCCTCTATGATTTAAAGGCTCGCTCTTAAAGAGAGCTGGAGGTGGAGGGAGGTGTGGGACTGGAGGGATGGGAAGGTGGTGTGGGTGGTGAGGGTGTGGGTGGATGTGAAGGTGTGAGAAGGGGTGGGGGATAGGACGAGGGGGAAGAGTGCTTACAGGATTCATATTAACTGGAGGGGTTGGGGTTGTGGGTGTATTCACCACAGAAGGAACTGGGGTGGCAGGGGAAGTTGTAAGTGGGATCTGGACAGCAGGCGGCACATTCACAGGGCTGGTCACCCGAAAGCACTTCTCCTTGTGGGCCTTAAGCATGTTGGAGAAGCGAAACCGCTGGCCACATACATCACATGGATAGGGCTTCTCGCCTGTGTGAGTTCTGCGGTGCCTCTTCATGTTAGGGCGGCTGGTGAAGCTTTTGCCACAGATTTCACAGATAAAGGGTTTCTCTCCTGAGATAAACACAGACACAAAAAAATGATTAACATACCAGGAAGTAATTATGTACTCAGTACATTCCTAGTCTTTTAAAAAAGCAGATTATCACTCATCTCCCCTATTGCATATTATATTCTGAAAGTCATAAAGGAGTTCTCCAAATTTGTTGTTGTCTAGGTCCCATCAAGTTGGCTCTGACTCACAGTGACCCTATGTACAACAGAAGGAACACTGCCCGATTGGGCGCCATCCTCACAATCCTTGCCATACATCACTGCAGTTACTGTGTCAATCCATCTTCTTGAGGGCCTTCCCCTTTTTCATTGTCCCTCCACCTTACCAAGCATGACATCCTTCTCCAGGGAATGGTCCCTTCTAACAACATGACCAAAGAAAGTGAGAAGTCTGGCCATTCTCACTTCCAAGGAGCATTACTGCTGCACTTTTTCTTCTTCTCTTTTCTTTTCTTTTTTTACCTTTTATTATGGTGAAAACATACACAACAAGACATTCACCTACATAAAAACTTCCACATTTACAAGCTCAGGGACAATGATTAATTTTTCATGTTGTGCTACTGATTACTGCTTTCTTTTTCCAAAATATTCCATCACTTATTAGCATAAACTCAATGTCCCCCAAACAAATCTGCTGTATTTCTTCTAGGACAGATTTGTTCATTCTTCTGGCAGTCCACAGTATTTTCAGTATTCTGCATCAACACCATAATTCAAGGACATCAACTCTTCTTTGTTCTTCCCTATTCATTGTCCAGCTTTCAAGCATATGACCAAAACCAAACTCAATGCCGTTGAGTCGGATTGAACTAACAGTGATCCCTCCTTGAGTTTCCGAGGCAGTATTTTTATGGAAGTAGATTGCCCAACCTTCCTTCCGAGGAGTGGCTGGTGGGTTTGAACCGCCAGCCTTCTGGTTAGCAGTCAAATGCCTTAGGTACTACATTACCAGAACTCCCTCCCAGCATATGAAGTGATTGAATATACCAAGGCTTATGTTAGGCGCACCTGAGTTTTCAAAGTGATATCTTTGCTCTTTAACACTTTAAAGCAGTCTTTGCAGCAGATTTGCCCAGTGCAATACAACACTTGAGTTCTCGACTGCTGCTTCCATGGGTGTTGATTGTGGATTAAAAAAAAAATGAAATCCCTGACTTCAATCTTTTCTCCATTTATCATGATGTTGCTTATTGGTCCCATAGCGAGGATTTTTGTTTTCTTAATGCTGAGGTGTAATCCATACTGAAGACTGTATGTAGTCTTTGATCTTCATCAGTAAGTGCCTCAAATCATCTTCACTTTCAGCAAGCAAAGTTGTGTCATCTACGTATCACAAGTTGTTCAAAATAGATACAAGTAAAACTTATGTATAACCTACCATTTTGGTTTGGCTTAAAAATAAAAGGTAGCATCTATAAGGAGTGATCCTTCACATCCTACACGAATAGCTGTTCAAATGGCTTTCCTGTAATGAATGCCACAGATGAATCCTTCCTTTGAGTGTAGGTCAAGTTAATCTGTAAGCAGTTTCTGACATTCCAATCAAAAGCATGTGCAACTTTGTTGGAAACGTCCAGTGGAGCAAATCTGTCTCTTCATGTCTACTCACACATAGTCCTTAGCATATAGGTCAGTTTATTTTTTGGTTTTTGGACTGCTCCCATAAAGATTACAGCCTGAGAAAGCCTATGGGATAGTTCTACTCTGCCATTGGGTCCACTATGAGTCAGAATCCACTTGAAGGTACACAACAGCAACAAATCTTTATAGGGGCTGACTGCCAGCTTTTTTCTTCCACAGAGCCTCTGGGTGGATTCAAACTGCCGACCTCTTGGTCAGGAGCCAAGTACTAACCATTGTGCCACCAGGGCTCCTAGTACTACGATCTGTTTCTGCTTCCCATTATTCAGTCACTGCCACTGCTAGTCTCTGTGATTCTTCATCATTCTAGATAAATTCTGAGCCCAGCTTTTTCCTTCCTTTTCATCCATTTCCTCCATTCATCCATTTCTTCCAATCATCTTGAAAACTTCAAATTCTATGTTGAATAGAATTTGTTAAATAAATTATGGTACATCCACCTGAGAAAGAGTGCTATTGAAAACAATATTGTAAGTACAGAAATTTAACTATTAACATGAAAATACATCTTAAATAAAACAAGCAAGTTATAAAAATGTATGCATGTTATTATCTACTTTTTTTCAGTCTATGTCAAAAAGAAACTTTATTACTTTTATAACAGCCTCTTAGTATTACCTACTCTTAAGGAAAAAATATGCAAAGAAATACAACAAATGTTACCAGCAATTATCTCTAAGTAATGGGACTATGGAGGATTTTAACTTTACGCTTATTTGTATCTTCTGGTTTTCTAAAATAAACATTATTACTTGTAAAATACCCAGACTGAAGGACCTGATCTTTGAATTATGAAACTGTCTAGTATGAGCAGATCTTGCCACTAGATTCACTCATCATTTCTTAGGTACACTAGGCACTTTATTTGCAAACACGATGTATTCACTGAAAGTTTATTGATGTATGACATTTAGTTTTCTGCTGTGTACTCAATGCCAATCCTGGATCTTTCTAATCATCTTTCTTTTGTAGTCTTCCAGGTAATAGTGATTTGCCATGTTGTTGTTGTTATTGTTGTTAGTTGCCGCTGAGTTGCTTCCGACTCATAGCGACCCCACGCACAGCAGAACGAAACACCGCCCGATCCCACGTCAGCTCCATGATCCTTGCTATACTTGAGCCCACTGTCGCAGCCACTGTGTCAATCCATCTCATTGAAGGCCTTCCCCTCTTTCGTCGACCCTCCATCTTACCAAGCATGACATCCTTCTCCAGGGAATGGTCCCCTCTGATAACATGACCAAAGTAGGTGAGATGAAGTCTGGCCACCCTTGCTTCCGAGGAGCATCTCGGCTGCACTTCCTCCAGGACAGATCTGTTAGTTCTTTTGGCAGTCCATGGTACGTACCTTTAGCATTCTTCGTCAGCACCACAACTCAAAAGCATCAACTCTTCTTCGGTCTTCCTTATTCACTGTCCAGCTCTCACATGCATACGAGGTGATTGGAAATATCATGGCCTGTGTCAGGTGCACCTTAGTCATCAAGGAGACATCCTTGCTCCTCAGCACTTGAAAGAGTTCCTTCGCAGCCAACCTACCCAGTGCTACATGTCGTCTAATGTCCTGATTGCTGCTTCCATTGGCCTCGATTGTAGAACCAAGCAACGTGAATTCTTTGACAACCTCCATCTTTTCTCCATTTATCATGATGCTGCTTATTGGTCCTGTTATGAGGATTTTTGTCTTCTTTATATTGGGATGTAATCCATACTGCAGGCTGTGTTCCTCAATCTTCATCAGTAAGTGCCTCAAGTAATCCTCACTTTCAGCAAGCAAAGTTGTATCATCAGTGTATCTCAGGTTGTTAATGATTCTTCTTCCAATCCTGATACCACATTTTTCTTCATATAGTCCAGCTTCTCGGATTATTTGCTCAGCATATAGACTGAATAAGTATGGGAAAGGATACATCCCTGACGCACTCCCTTCCTGATTTTAAACCATGCAGTGTCCCCTTGTTCCGTTCAAACGACAGCCTCCTTCCTGGTCAAGGTACAGAAATGCTGACATTTGCCACAGAGACACCAAAAACTATTAGAATTGGTCCACCACAAAAATCCATGGATTCAAATTAAAATGGGTCCCTTTTACTGCTTAACAACCTTTAGTTCATTTCTTGATGTCCTATCAAATTTTCCATGTGGTTGTTCCAGACCTTTCCTTGGCATAAATCCACAACCACACCCATCTGTAACATTATTCAGAGGAGATGGCTCCATCTCTTAATTCTATTTAATGGCTGATGTTAATGTTCCCCTGAAACTTCAAGGTAGGATTACATTAAGGCTGAAATAAAGAAGTATCAAAATATAACACTGAAAATCAACCACCTGTACCATATTCCACTTCAAGGAAGAGCTGGTAAATGGGTGATGGAAGCTACAGCAGCAGCCAAGTCCATGTGGTAACTAGAAAAGAACAACTATACCAATATAGGCAGCTCTGGTAGCATAGTGTCTAAGGCATTTGACTGCTAACCAGAAGGCTGGCAGTTCAAACCCAACAGCCACTCCTTGGAAGGAAGACTGGGCAATCTACTTCTGTAGTGATACTGCCTCGGAAATCCAAGAAACCCAAGGAGGGGTTGCTATGAGTTGGATTCGACTCGACAGCAGTGAGTTCTGTTTGCTTTTGTTTATACTAATATAGCTAAAAACATAACCTGTTATACATAAATAAAGCTAACCTAATTGTAAGAAACTATTATAATGAGTCTGAAGAAAGAACACTGTAAATGAAGACAGAGACTATGCAGGGAAGACAGAAAAGAGCAAGAATTTGGCTAGTTGTCTCTTACACGGTTCAAAGAAAAGGGTGATCTGGCCAATAAACAGAAGCATTGCATCCTGCTTAGTATGAGTATTCTTGAGTGGCACCAGGAACCGGTAACTATATAGCAGCCTAAATATCTCTGTTAAGCTTCAAACCCATTTTTAAAACCACCTACTGGACATCTCGACTTGAATGGCCCACAGATACTTGAAAATTAACAAGGCAAAATTAGCTTCATCATTCTATGTAGCAAATCTGCTCCACCCTCCACTATTCTCTATCCTTACAAATGGTATCCAAGCCTCAAGTCTGAGACTAACCCTTGATTACTCTCCTCCATACCAGCCATATCCAGTCAATCACCAAGTTCATTTGACTCTACCTCTCCTATCTCTTTAATCTCATCCACTGCTACTACCAGACCATCTGGATTACTGCAATATCCGCCTGACTGGTTTCACTACCTCTATTCTTACTCCAGGAGTCCTTGGGTGGTACAAATGCTTCACGTGCTTGGCTGCCAACTGAAATGTTGGGATTTGAGTGCACCCAGAGGTGCCTCAGAAAGAGCCTGGTAATCTATTTCCAAAAAGTCAGCCATCAATAATCCTGTAAAGCACAGTTCTACTCTGACACACACAGTCGCCATGAGTCAGAGTCAACTCGATGACAACTAGTTTGATTTTCACTCTTACTCCATACCCTCCAATCTACTTTCCACATTGCAGACAAAGTCACCTTCCAAAGGTCAAAGAAGATCAAAGAATATATATGATGACAAACATTTACCCATCATTTACTATGTGCCAAGCACTGTTCAAATCTGACACAAATGTTTCCTTCAAAAAAACCTATGTTCTGTCTAGTCCCATAGTTTCCTGCCAAAACACAAAAAAACTGAATCCTAAGTGACTCATTTAGAACTAAAGGCCTATCCAAGAACCATCAAATTGTAAGAGGAGACTGTTAAGTACTCTGACATGTCCTACTATATCCACACAGGCTATGGCTTCACAAACATCATTATCTTTTGAGGTTTATTTAACTAATCAGCTTCCTCTCATGACTCCTCATCTAGCCTCCAAACTAAAACCAAATACATTGCCATTGAGTCGATTTCAACTCATAGCAACGCCTACTGGGTTTCCAATGCTATAAATCTTTATGGAAGCAGACTGCCTCATCTTTCTTTGGCAAGTGGCTGGTGGGTTCAAACTACCAACCTTTTGGTTAGCAGCAAACTGCCTTAACAATCTGAGGGGACTGCTTTGAATGGGAAAGCAGCTTCCCAGGCAGGTATTTTTGTTTGAAATTCAAAGAAGAAATGGGAAGTAATGAGATCCAGTCACGGGCAGAATTTCCTCACCCTAGTTAAGCTGATAGAACAGCAGGCTAAGCAAGATAATCTCTCATGGTTCTTCCCAGTCCTGCTACTCTGCAAACTAACAGAACCTAGACTTGCACAGTTAGGTTTTTTAAAACTTGAACACGTTTTCACGCAACTCAATTTGTATAAGCACAGCTAATTCCAAAACATTAAATTAAACTGAGATATAGTGATAGAATTTACAGGGGGAGCTATTATTTTAGCCAGTTCCTTGGGAGCTGGATAATCAGGTGACTAAGATTCAAATCCACACTATAGAGTATATACCCCTAAAACCACAAAGTGGTTAAAATATTATTTAACCTTCCTGAAAAGTAGTACATTCTAGTAAATCAATCCAGTGAGAGTCAGACTTGAAGAATATTCTGTTTTCAGAGTTAGTGCCCTCTACCTTTCAAAGGTCAGGTCCTTCTGGGAGGCCCTTTCCTTAGAAATATAACATATGTCCATACAGAAAACAATCTGCACACGATGTCAGGAGTTCCTGAACTCCAGGTAAAGAAGCCATTAGATAAAGGCCAACACAAATAATTCTTTCTTTATGTATCAGGTTCATTTAAGTGGGGTTTTCACTTAAAATGCAAGTTATGTGGTTTATAGACTTTTAAACAAACAGACTCACAGATGGTCATCAACAAGTGTTTAAGACACATCTGCATTTTTCCCAAGGAATTCTTACCAGTGTGTGTTTTCATGTGTTCGTCGAAGTACTGCTTCATGTTGAAATCCTTGCCGCACCACTGGCACATAAACTGTTTGTGCCCAATGTGGATGCTCATGTGGGAGCGCAGCTGGTACTTGTACTGAAACCTTTCATCACAGTTCTGCATCGGACACAGTGGAAATTTTTGAATGCCAAGCACAGTAGCCTTATTTGAGCATACCCTAACATGGTTCCTGAGATTAAACCTAATATTACATACTCAAAATAGAACTTGTTTGTGTCAACTCTTTGGCTCTGCTGTATCTATGCAGCTGAGTTATTAATTAAGGGGACATTTCCCATCTAATTATCACTGAAGTATATTTAACGTCCCTAAATCACTGAAGAAAGAAAAATAGCTCATTATGCTTATTCCCACAATCTAAGAGGGTTAACAGCATTAAAAGGGCATCTCTCTACCTACCAATGAAGTAACACACCAAGCTCAGAGTCTGTGTCTGAAAGTTTTCTGGAAACGCATTCCTGTACTTTGTACTACAGAACGTCTCTCGTCTCTCTCTCACCGCCTCACCGTACATACAAAAGCTGGCCCCCAAGCACATTCCTTACCTCGCATCTGAAGGGCTTCTCTCCAGAATGCTGCAAGGAGTGCACCTTGAGTGACATACTGCGTTTGAATGATTTCCCACAGGTTTCACATGTAAATGGCATGTCTTTTGTGTGTGCTGCAACACAGAATGCACTTAAAGTAAGTCCACTAAAAGATAAATGACCTACTGCAAAGCAATTATACCATCTGAATTTTCTACACTCTAATCTGTAAGGCCTTAATAGTAATGTTCTGGAGAGATAAACAAGTAACAATGTTGGAAAGAAATCTGGGTGTGGAAAACTACACCATCCAATTTGGTGATGTCTACTGAAGACATGTTGCATTTAGTTTCAACAAGTCAAAACTGATTAATATAAGGCAGTTTTTCATATCCTGCCCAATTTAGAGCATAAAAAGCACACTAAAGAACTAGAGAAAATTATAGATGTAAGAGAAAAGCAGCAGAAAAAACTTACCAACCATGTGTTTCCGCACATGAGCCATGGTATAGAATTTCTTCTCACAAATTTCACAAGAAAATTTCTTTTCTGCATAACCATGGACGATCTTGATATGCTCATGAAGGGACCAGAGTTTCTTGAAGGATTTGTTACAGGAAACACACTGAGCAGGATAAACAGAAACAATCTATTTATTTATAGGGGCTTATAGAAAGCCATACCTGCCTACTGGCAGATGGAATGGGTGTGTTTTTGATTCATGGCACAAAGCCAGACCCAGACAAATGCTATTTATTCCTCTGGAGTCCAGATTCCAACACTGACATCTGTATGTTCTATTTTCCAAGATGCACCTCTTAAAGATACTTTGGGAACATGCACACAATGGCAAAAACTGAGACAGGAAGAAATGCAAAGTTCCACTAATATAAAAGAATTGACTGCTATTATCAAGTTAATATTGTACCTATTAACGGAACTTTCACTTTTGAAAATACATGGATTACCAATAGCAGCTTCCTTCTATAAAGGCGTCACGATGCAGCTAGGTGTTTACCACAGAATGCAAACTAATTTTAAATTAGTATAAATAAAACCAAAATTTAATGTTTTATTAATGGTTATAGGTCTGTAGGGGTATAAAATATTTTTGTACCTTGGAGAATGCATTTGGAATCTTCATTAGCACAGGAAATTCAGATTTTACTATATTTCCCCAAATTTAATTTACTCTCTTAAATTCCTTCCAGCAGAATTTAATGTATTCTCTAAACTATTAGTTCCACCCTTCCTTTCCTTATAGCCCAATTCCAGATCTCACTGACATGCACCTACCGAAAATGCATGCAACACTGCCTAGTTGCTCATATCATTGACTGGAATGTAAGGCACAAAGTGCACCAAAACAAGATACTTGTGATTAAAGCAAAACAATACCAGAAAGTTTTCTGTAGTTGTCAGACTCTGGGATACTTGAATAAGTTAGCCTTCCCTATAAATAAAGGTCCCTGAACATGACTGTCACTTCAGAAAATAAGAAACCTTGGGAAGAATTAGAAAGACAAGCCTTAGGTTGGATATTGCTCTAGAAAAGGACAGAGTACTCCTATAAGCCATTCTGTAGGGCAGGGTTTTAAGGTTTACTTGGTACCAAGTCACCAGGTTATTAGGATGTCTAGGTAAGAACAAAGCACAGCATTAAGAATGCAAAGAGAATTCATTTATCAGACTCCACAAAATCTAAATGCACGTTTAAATGTATTATGGTGAGGAAAGTCACAAAAAAGGATATACTGAATGTCTTCTTTTATGTAACTTAATAAACCAAGTAAAAAAGCTATAAAGATCAAGAATGCGTTTCAAAAAGGAATCATTACGAAAGGTAAGTTTGACCCCTAGGGTGCAGCACTGCACCACACTCACTCCCTTTGGCCTGAACTGCAGCAGCCTAACGAGAGCACTGGAGTTCCTGGAAGAGGTGAGCATAACTCAATCTTCTTTCACTTCCCAGTGTGTCAGAGAGTGAGCCACAAATGGTGAATTAAAAAGCAGTGAATCTGTAGCAAATGTAATTTGGATTTTTTGAAAATCTTTTTAAAGTAAAAGCAATGATCCCAGTTAATTAAAAAAGCAATAGAGGAAAAAAGTAAAACTTACAAATATTAGTAGCATGCCAAAAAACAAACAAACAAACCAAACAGAATGATCTCATCTTTTAAAAGAGGTTTAGGTTAAAACCATACAAAATATTTCTACTTTATATAGCTTAAGGAGACATTAAGACTTACCTTTTATGAATATTTAGTAATAAGCATTCACATGTGCAAACACAATATAGTTGCAATCCATTTAATATAGTTAACACACCTCTTAACCTACGACAATATAGTCCTTTCAAGACACCAGCTGGTTTGAATCCCATGATTTATTACCTCAGTGTACTGTACTGTAGCATTACATAACCCTACCGCGAGGTGGGCAACATTTTCAACCAGCTTAGCTTTGTTTAAAGTTTGCACATTCCCATGGGCTCAGCCTCTTGACAAATTTAGTGCTGTCATCTCTCCACTGGTAAAAACAAACTCGCTCCTGGAGATCTTCCATTTCCACCGAGCTGAGTCATTATGGTTTTTGTCCCCATCAGATGCACTAGAATTTGGCATCCTTTTAAACCTAGGAAGGGACCTTTCTCTACTTCTGACCCTTACTCAGTATCCCCCACTTCGACAGTGAAGATGCCAGAATGAATTATATTACATGTCCTAAAAGAGTCCTAAAACAGTGAATCTCAGTGCAAAGTTGGTGTTGACTTTACCTCTTGGTCAATCACCCATAATAACATCCCCCTTTCCAAGCACCTGGGTTCCCACTAGTCCAGCGTCAGTTAAATTTAATGCTTTTGAAATAAAATAATAAGACTCAGTTTTGAAAAAGACCAAAGCAGAAGCTTTTGCAAAAATAAATTGGTGAAATCTGTCCTTTCATCCTCTATTTATTCTCTTGGGCAGATACCAGATGAGTCTGAACAGCCAGGTTCTATCCTGGAAAGTTTGCCCTCTCGGTGAAGAAACCTACCTGAATATTTTTTTCACAGTCTGTTTGCTGGTGAAGGGACAGCTCACTTTCCAGGACAAACTTCTTGCCACATTTATCACAAATCTGCATGCGCCTATGAGTAACGTTCATGTGCTTCTCCAGGTACCAGCGAGTATTAAACACCCTGGGGCACTTCTCACAGGTCAGAGTCTCTTTCTCTTCACACTTAGCTTTCTGGACTGGTGCTTTGGGCTCCTTTGTGGCCCGTTTCTTACGCTTAGGTGGCTCTACACTCTTCCTACGACCTCTTGTTGTTCTGGGAGTAGGGGAAGCGGTAGCTGCAGCCACAGAGGCCGCCCTCCTCGTTCTCCTTTGTGCAACGCTGACCGTCTCCACTGTCTTCTCCTTTTTCTTCTGCCTTTCATTCTCTCCATAGTCATTGCTGTCATCTGTGGCATCTTCCTCACTCTCTTCCTCTTCGTCCTCACTGCTTGTCTTAAGAACAGGAGTCTCTTTGGACTGAGGAGAGACACCCTTTTCCCCTTTAGATACATTTAATGTTTGATTATTAAGGTTTACCTCCACTATGATCTGCTCCCTTTTGTAAGAAACTTCTTCATCCTCCTCCTCTTCTGTGTCATCAGAATTCTCCTGGTCTTCTTTAACAGCATGCACGTCGGACACTGATCTTGTCTCTCTGAAATATGGCTGTTCCTCTGTTTCGTGGAGATGTGGTTTGCTCATCTTGGTGTCCACTAACACAGAATAAGGACTTCCTGATTCCCTTTTGTACACTTTGGTGGACAGGTCAAGTTCTTGGTTGGCACCATGATAAAAGGTAGATGGCACTTGACCACGACGGCTATCTTCTTGTGCCATCTCTGCTACATGCACAGCACAATTTTCAACCAGCTCTTAACAAGAACTGGCCACGTGGCTCAATGGTAAGTGGCCCAATTTATGAAGCAGTTTAGACTATTGAGAAATAGCTTTAAAACAGGGTAATTATTAAGACTCAAATATTTTTCCATCCATAAAGAATCATTGAAATTAAAAAAAGATATTCTTGGAAATTGTGTGCAATTCTTCCAGTGTTGCAGCACCAAAGCTTAAGTCAAAAAGATTTGGTATTATGGCAAGAGCAGAGCATTAGTGATTTTTCTTCTGAAGAGAGCAGCAAATGGCTTGGAGCATCTTATCTACAAAGAAAATAAGCAAAGGGGGGAAAAAATAAGATACCACTATTTCCTTCTTACAGAATGCACTTAAAAACATAGCTCAGAATTATTAAACTTTTTATACACAATGCTCTATACTGCTAAAATGGCTCCATATGGGCCATTATTTTACTGGGTTACAGGAATTCAACAAACATTTTCTATTAAACTGTAAATTCTGTAACAGTAAGCGTTACTTGTGCCCAGTTCACAAAAGTATCCTCAGAGCTTAGCATGGTGTCTAACACACAGCAGGTGTTCAGCAAATAGTTGAAGAATAGATGAATATATACCACTGTATAGTATCCACTAGCCTAAATTTTGATAGGGCAGAACCTATGGTCTCTGTGAACAAAGAAGTTACAGTTCAATTATACAGCATGGGTCCTGCATAGACACACCAAGACTTTAAGCTGTCTGGCTTTCTTTCCAATATTAATCACAACCATCCACCACAGCGAGAGCTCACAGAACAAAGATGTAGGGGCCAGGCACTGTGGGCCAAAGAAAACAAGCAGCTGAATGACATAATTATAGAAGACAGAGAAAATGTCCCGGAGTTTGATAGTTTATTATCTAGGTATAGATATTACTGTTTTCAGGTTTACTAAAGTAAGTTTCAAGTTGTTAAGGACTTTAAAATTTGTTCTGTACAGAGCTTACTAGGTCCACTCAATAACTGCATGATTTATCAGGGACACAAAAAGTCAAAATTCTAAGAAACAGTAACCATCAGGTTGATATGGTTCTAAGAAAAATAAAACCATCCTTTAAAAAAAAAAAAAAAAGATTAAGTGGGCACGTAATTTGCTTTGTGACATATCTTTGTTCAGCCAACCACCTAACCTCTGAGTCATCTGAACATTACTGCAAGCACATAGCCTGTCTAGGTGACAAAAAGAAGGAAGCTAGTATTTACTGAATGCCTGCTAGACTGATACTGTATAAGTGCTTATTATTCATTATCTTCGTGAAATGTCTACCACAAAACTTTAGGGTAGATTTTTTAACTTTTTTTTTTTTGTAATCAAAGTAATCCACTAAATACGTTTTAAAAGTCAAATACACTACTAGGTTTATAACAAAACAAAACAAAAAAACCACAACAATCCTCTGTCCTACTCTGTCTATTCTGAGTCCCATACTCAGAGGTAACAATGTTCATCTATTTTAGTCTGTCCACCACCACTCTCAGGTGTCTGCTTCTATATTTCTAAGTAATATGATTATATTTCTATTTCCTGATTTTTTTTTCAATATTAGATATTGCCTCTTGTCTTCCACTAGTTTTCTGACCATATTGCTTATAATTTTCCCCTCACCCTCCCCACATAGTTGTATCACTTTTTTTGTTAAATCAGTACTTACTGCTTATATAATTCTGACTGTGTATAGTTCACAGCTGATAATTCTATTATTCTCTGCTATTGTTTTCTCTCCCATTTCCTTTTTTCTTATGGATTTATTCTTTTAAAAATTATTTTACTTTCATTTTAGTAAAGTTTCCTAAAGGAGTGATAATGCAATGCCTCCACATTTTACTTGACACCTCATTATATTTAAACTCTTTTGTATTTGTAAAGGAGAAAAATATGGCTCAGAAAGGCTAAATAATTTGTCTAAGACCACATATCTATTAAATAACAGAGGCAGTGTTTGACCTTAAGCCTACCTCACTTCAATGCTCCCAATCTTTCTATTTCTATTATGACAAATGATATCCTGAAATAACTTAAGCTCAATTTTTCCTCTAACCACCTATCTTTATGCATCATACAATAGCTTCATACCTAGTATTTTAAGTAGGAAAATCCAAGTAGCTTTATTTTGCACGTACTAAAACTCCTGACCCGTGGAAATAATATAAATTATTACAAGTACTGTTAAATAAACTTACTCATATTAATTATCTCAAATTAAACATGAGAGGCAAGACAGTAAAATTCAATTAAGTAGCAAAAGCTAGGAGTTAAACAAAAATCAAAAAGACAAAGGAAAGAGCATCAGGGCTGGGTTTCTAAGAAAATCTTCCGTGGCAGTGCCAATGAGTTCCCAAATATTCCTGGATCTCGGCCTTGTAGACACATGGGGGGACTGCACGTTCAAACCCCATCCTTCCTTCTGTAGTTGGGTGGGACCCTGTGACCACCTCTGGCCAGCACACTAGGAGTAGAAGGGACATGGCAGATCAGGACGTTTACTAACCAACGAGACCTCCAGACCTCTCTTCCCTCTGGCACAGGGACCAGTAATCTTCAAGATGATGATGGCTGCTATCAGCCTGGGCTCCTAGGCAGCTATCATGATCTACACATACAGGGTATGCACACACAGTGTGATTAAGAAATCAAACTTTGGTTGTTGCTGGTTTTTAAAGACCCTGAGATTTTGAGTTATTTACTGCCCCAGCATAATCCGGCCTATCCTGGCTGGAACAGGTGGAACCCAGAAATGAGGTGTTGCCTTCAAAAACCTCAAAACACATACATAGCAAAGGCTTAGGAGTTGGGTGAAGGAAGACAAGGAAACAGCTACTGGAGACTAAAAGGACAGCAATTCATATTACACAGTGGTGAAATATTTGGTCAAACTATCAGCCATCTCAGAAAGTAGATGATACATTACAAGAGTCTGTATACACAGTGGGAATGTTGAATATTCAAGAGTGTGCTGGTTATACTGTTGGCCGCATTTGACAAATTTCTACAGGAAAAGGATAAATTTAGAAAATAATCAATCAGTTTACAAACAAGAATAAAAGGAGTCCAGAAAGTCAGGGATTTATTTGTAGGGTTAGAAGAGACACTTAATATAAAACTGAGGTCTTTGAGCTACCAGGGCTGAGTCATTAGAATTCAGTCTTGAGGCAAGGATCAAATCAAAGATTTGACTTTCACAACCATTGATAAAACCTCCTAATTGATTAAGGTATTATCTTTTCTAAAAGAGCTTTTCTAAAAAGAGACTAAAGATGAGGTTCTCTCATCAAAGGAGTCTCTTATCACAGTCTGTTTTACTACAAAGCATATTTCTCTAATGTGAATCAGATAAAATGGTATTAGTAAATAGGGGAATAGTGTCAATGTAACACAGAAGTCATGTTGGTTTATAAGGGATTTTTCCCCAGCAAGTGTTAATGTTTAAAGTCATTAGGAGCAAGCTTTCTCATAATTAGGGGGAAAAAAAAACCTTTCCCAATAATAAAAATAAATAAAGCTAAGTATCCTACTTCCACACATTCCTTTGGGAGCTCTGGTGGCATAGTGTCTAAGGCATTTGACTGCTAACTAGAAGGCTGGCAGTTCAAACCCACCAGCCACTCCCCAGAAGGAAGACTGGGCAATCTACTTCCGTAGAGATACTGCCTCAGAAATCCAAGAAGGGGTCATTATGAGTAGGATCCGACTCGATGGCAATGAGTTTGGTTTTTGGTATACTTCCTTTAAGGAGCTCTGGTGGTGCAGTGGATAAAGCCTTTGGCTGCTAATCAGGTCAGCGGTTCAAACCCACCAGCTGCTCCACGGAGGGAAGATGGGGCGATCCACTTCCGTAATGATTTACTGTCTTGGAAACCCAACGAGGGTCACTACAAGTTGGAATTGACTTGATGATAGTGAGTTTTGTTTTGTTTGGTACCTTTTTTAACACAAGCAGTGGCTGGTTCAATGGTTTCATGAACCACTATACTTTTTCACTTTATAAAACATCTGGTGAAGCTGACAGTATGTGTTTTTTCACCTGTGTTTCAAAAAAGCTTTTTGGTTGCTGAAGCCTACATTATAGATCAAATATTTCATTTTGATGAAACTAGTTTCTTTCAGAAGTGAAAGCCTTCAAGGCCCTACATCTAAGAGGAAACAACAGTCCAGGAACCTGTCAAAGTTTAAATGAATGACACTGGGTACAAACGCTAGAAGAGATTTAACATGCTATTGTGTTATTATCATTGTTATTATTTTAATTAGGGCACAGGTCACAGTGTTCTGCAGATTTTGAGTGATCTGCCCCAACCGTATTTTTCCTATAAACCAAACTCCAAACCAAACTCACTGCCACCAAGTCAATTCTGACTCATAGCGACCTCCACTGGGTTTCTGAGGCGGTATCTCTACAGAAGGAGCTCTGGTAGCACAGTGCCTAAGGCACTTGACTGCTAACCAGAAGGCTGGCGGTTCAAACCCACCAGCCACTCCTTGGAAGGAAGATTGGGCAATCTACTTCCGTAGAGATATTGCCTCAGAAACCCAAGGAGGGGTCGCTATGAGTCAGTTATAACTCCACGGCACATAACAACAACAATCTCTACGGAAGTAGATTGCCCAGTCTTCCTTCCAAGGAGTGGCTGGTGGGTTTGAACCATCAGTCTTCTTGTTAGCAGTCAAATGCCTTACCCATTATGCCACCAGAACTCTTTTTTTCTATAGGTTCTATTATTTTAGTGCATGACTTTGCAGAATGTGATCCTTTTCAGGAAAGTATACATGACATGATAACAGAAATACCTGTACTCAAGCAGAGACCAATAAAGCAGAACTTTACAACAAATCTAAGAAATATGATTAGAAAAGAACCGTGAGTGTGGCCAGGGTACACGGAGCTGACTGGGATCAAGTAAACAAAAAGCCAACCAAGTTTTTGATACTTGTACAGCCAAAATAGCCACAAGCTTGGGTCAAAAGAGACTCTGACTGTTCAAGACTTAAGATGATCTTTGGGTTCCCAAGCATCTATGACCAGAAGTAGTCTAAGACAGCTGTTCATTCTCTTTGAAGGGCATATTTCCTATTATCCATTTTGGATATGGCCAAGGAAGACAATGGGCAAAGGGAGGGAAGAATGTCCAGGAGGATGAAACTAGGGACCATAGAAAAAATTGGACCAGAGAGCTAATTCTGAGAAGCAAAATAAGGTCTATACAAGAACATTCTCTGTCCCCAAGATGGATGGTCTTCCCAATGACTGCTCAGAGGGAGTCCAGATTTTGCTGCTGTTTACCAATTGCTATATATCTCCTATTCTGCCCCCTTTCAAATCGGAGTTTATTTCTATTATCTTTGTTGCTATTTACCTGGAGCTTTGGTGGTGCTATGGTTAAAGCACTGGGGTGCAGTTTGAACCCACTAGCCGCTCTGCAAGAGAAAGATGAGGCAGTCTGCTTCCATAAAGCTTTACAGCTTTGGAAACCTTCTTTGGCAGATCTACTCTGTCCTATAGGATCACTACGAGTTGGAATTGA